CATGGAGCCCATTCGTATAATGAAAGACTATGGGAAAGACTTTGGCTCCTTGGCAATTGAACTGTATGTGTGTGCTCTGAGCGCCATTCAGTAATAATGTGCGCTCAGACCTAAGCTATCTGGGCATATGTTGCATGTCTGTATTTTATGTCATAAATGTAACCTTGTGTATTTTATTGTATTTTACTGTCTTTTTGCTGCCATGTGTTCAATGGAGTTTTGCCTCTGTCTTCGGAGATAATTAGATTAATTCTAATTATCTCCAGGATAGAAGACTCTGTGGAACTGGTTTTGGGCAGAAAAGCCATGCTTCCTTTGGTCAAAAAGGACTACGATCTATCTTTTGAACCACTGGACCAATTTGGATGATTTTGACGTATGTTTGTATTTGGAGTATGCTGATTCTGAAAATGTAATTTTATGTGAATGTGATGCTTTTCAAGTTATGAATAATGTGGAAAAATTGTATTTCTCTACTTGTGATAATTACATTACCCATTGTGTAAGGTAATTGAATCACAGGCAGAGGGGAGGATTCCAAAACCGTGTGGGTGGTACTAATGTGTATATAAGAACAATAAACCCACAGCTCTGTCTGTTCACTGCTTGACCCTCAACACGGAGCTTTGTCTCTTTCTTGGGGGGATTTACTGTATGCTGTTCCAGTTTGACTGCTAGGAGTGTAAACCTATTCGTATGGTTTTTCCTATTCGGCTGTTTACAGCATTCGTATGGTTTCCTGTTCGGCGGATTGGTGTTCTGCAGTACCTGTACCTGTTTCTCTGGAAGGGAAGATCTACTAAACGGTGGTTTAACCCTTTCTGGGGGTGCCATTACAATTGGTGGCAAGCGGCGGGATTGTTCCTACAGCCAGAAGGACAGCTACAGGGGACACCATTCCGTGGATTTTACAATTTGAGGGCAACGCATGTCCTAGAACATCGATCCTGACAGCACCAGGATGGAACCAGAAGTGGAGTACGATGAGGGTGTCATGGATGACCGAGATGCAGTTCGCAAAGGCATCTGGTACCAGGCACTGGGTATTGTGGAGTACCAGCAGGATGAGAGATTCCCCAAGGAAGACCAGCAGTTACAGAAGCGAGTAGCCCTGCGGATGCCCTTCCTAGGAGAGCAGCCCCTGGAGGAATGGGTGGAGAAATTGGAACACCTAGTATGGCAGGAGATTTGGCTGGAAGATGCCTACCAGGTGCTCTGGTGGTATGGGGCACAGTACCTGCCCTGGACAGCCCAGCATGACAAGCCACAGGGAGAGGAGTTTGATGGTCCTAGTTTGTTATGGGAGGCTTTTTCAGAGCCTGAGTTTGGAAGCTCTACACTCGCCAGTGATCTCTTGGAGTGGAGGGAGAGCAGGTATGACTGGGACAACACTCATGAGATTGAGCAAGACCCGGTCCACCTAGTGACCCGAGAGATGGAGCTGGAGCAGGGCTAGCAAGATCTGTTCCACTCCAGTGAGAAGGCTCAGCAGGGAAGCGGAGACCTAGATCCAGACCCATTCAGCTGGGCAGATATTGCAGAATGTTACTGGGAAGAACCCCAGGTGGCTGGTGGAGATGGGACCGAGGTCTCTCCACCGGTCCTGCAGGGAATTGGGAGCCCAGTCTCCATTCCCCAGCGGGAGATATTGCAGGGAATTGGTAGCCCAAGCTCCATTCCCCAGCGGCAGGCTGAGTTACAGGGGACAGAGATAGTTGCTTCTGTCCCCCAGCAGCAGAGTGAATTGCAGGGAATTGGGAGCCCAAGCTCCATTCCCCAGCGGCAGAGTGAATTGCAGGGAATTGGGAGTGTAACGGAGCTCCTTGTACTCCGACCGAGTACCCTCCGTTGACGGATGCTCCTAGCGCTTCCTGAGGACTCCAAGCACTGCAGCAGACACCACAACCACCGCAGACTCCACAACCGCCGTATCTGGACTGAAGTCTCGCCGTCTTCCTTCCACCCTGGATCAGCTTCTGTCCTCCAGGACTGTGTGGGAAAGAACTCTTCCTTCCACCCTGTATGAACCTCCAGCATCCAGGACTGTGTGGTGAAGACCCCTCCTCCAAGGAGAGCGTGTCAGGAACAAGCTCTTAAAAGAGCTAAGTGACTCCAAGCTCAGGGGAGCATGCAGAGCATAGCAATCCCCAGTGTGATTATAACAGCTCCCTCAAATAACGAGACAAGGCTACATTTAGAGGGATCAAGAAGAACTGTCAAAACCTTTATTTCCCTTGGGACCAGCCAATAGGGTCACCACAATAACATTGTTGTGAAACCTCAATAAAATCAAAAACAGTCAAACCATAGCAGGCAACACACAGTGACTTATCACAACACAATGGCACATTTTTAAAGGGGTGGGGGAGACAATATTTAACAGTAAATATCTCACCTGCCTACAGAATTGGCAATATGCAAATCTACCCGAATATGCAAATGAACCAGTCTTGCAATTCAGGTAGTGCATATTGCTGTTGCTACTAACAGAGGGCACTAGACAAGCTCCATAGCCAAACCCACCTAGTTGGTAGCAAACCTCAGGAATACAAGAGAGCAGGCAATATATTACACAGTACACACACACACACACTATAAACAATTACATAACACACACCCTGCACCTATAATGGGTACAGGGTGACTAAAACATAAGATAAATAAAGCAGCCTACATAAATAGTCTGTCTGAAGGTAGACTAGGGGCTTTAAAGCCAGATACATGAAAGAGTCATAGCCAAAGGGGAGGAGGCTGGCAAGTAGGCCTCTCCAGGACCAAGTGGCGATAGGGCACTTCGTCACAGGGAGCCCAAGCTCCATTCCCCAGCGGCAGGCTGAGTTACAGGGGACAGAGATAGTTGGTCCTGTCCCCCAGCGGCAGTGTACCTTGCAGGGAGAGGAGAGCAGCGTCCTCCCTCCCCAGTGGCAGGGTGAGCTACAGGGATGCTGGGCAGTCGGCTCAGATCCCCAGCGGCAGTGTGAATTACAGGGAATTGGGAGCCCAGTCTCCATTCCCCAGCGGCAGTATGAGTCATTGGGAATTGGGAGCCCAGTCTCCATTCCCCAGCAGGAGATAAAGCAGGGAATTGGGAGCCCAGTCTCCATTCCCCAGCGGCCGAATGTCCTACAGGGAATAGAGAGCCCAGTCTCCTTTCCCCAACAGCAGGCCTCTGTATTGGGAGCAGAGACAGTCGGTCTCCCTCCCCCACGGCTGCAAGTATATATGGGAGAGGAGCTTGTTACCCCCTCTCCCCGGCGGCAGCTTAACGTACCGGGGGGGGGACAGTAAACCCCACAACCGTGCAGATGGGACCGTGGTCTCTGCACTTACAGCAGAGGGGGTAGGGACGGTCGGTTCTGCCCCCCAGCGACAGAGCTGTTTAGCCAAAGGGGAGACAGTCGGTCTCCCCCTCCAACAACCAGGCTTCAACCAGGCTACTCCCGTGGTAGCGCTGGCACCAGGGCAGAGTACCGCTGGTCTCTGCCCACTGAGCAACCCACCAAGTCAGCTTACCAGTCACCCACACAGCCGTGGTGAGGCACCTGGACATGGACAAAGTTCTCCTCTACCCAGGTGTAGTAACCATTTATTGTGGGTGGGCTGTATTACTGTTTGTGTGTTGTGGGTGGGCTGCTGGACTAACAAGGGCACTGACCGGCAGGAGGTCAGATACCCTGTTAGTCTGTTTGGAAAAGGGGACAGATGTGACGAGACCAATCTCGCCACATTGCATTGGAGAAGCCTGGTTGCTCGCCTGTTGCCTTTAGACTATGGCCCCATGTTGAAACGCTTGATTTTCCCCTGCGAAGACACGAAAGCCGGGTCATTCAGTGCTGGCCCTGTTTGAGCGGTGATACCCCAGATAGCTATGCCATGGAGCCCATTCGTATAATGAAAGACTATGGAAAGACTTTGGCTCCATGGCAATTGAACTGTATGTGTGTGCTCTGAGCGCCATTCAGTAATAATGTGCGCTCAGATCTGAGCTATCTGGGGATATGTTGAATGTACCTGTTTTATGCAATGGCTGCACAGTTATATATTTTTATGTATTTTATTGTCTTTTGCTGCCATGTGTTCAATGGAGTTTTACCTCTGTCCTTGGAGATAATTGGATTACTTCCCAATTATCTCCAGGATAGAAGACTCTGTGGAACTGGTTTTGGGCAGAAAAGCCATGCTTCATTTGGTTACAAAGGACTACGATCTATCTTTTGAACCACTGGACCAATTTGGATGATTTTGACATATGTTTGTATTTGGAGTATGCTGATTCTGAAAATGTAATTTTATGTGAATGTGATGCTTTTCAAGTTATGAATAATGTGGAAAAATTTTATTTCTCTGCTTGTGATAATTACATTACCCATTGTGTAAGGTAATTGAATCACAGGCAGAGGGGAGGATTCCAAAACCCTGTGGGTGGTACTAATGTGTATATAAGCACAATAAACCCACAGCTCTGCCTGTTCACTGCTTGACCCTCAACACGGAGTTTTGT